GTCCAGCACCCTGCTGCTACGCCACGGAATACGCACAGACCAGGGCACAGACTCCCAATTTGAAAGAAGATAAGTTTGTCGGAAGCCGCGGAGGTGTATCAATTGTGGGCGAAACGATCAGTCGGCACGCGGCCCGCACTCTGGTCAGACAGCCGGGGCTCGGGCTGGGTCAGTCACGTGACCGACCGACTGGTGGTGAAGGACTCCACACTGTCCACACTGTAAACACAGGCGGAGCCAGCTCCGGGAGCCAAGGATATAACTAACGGCCGTGGGGTCAGGGGTGCCAGATTATGTGTGACAGGTAGGGCCTTGACCTACAGTTTACAAATGCAGGCTTAAGTGAAAATGGTCCTTGTTATTGCATTGGTGCAACGAGCAGAGATGTTGGTGGCACCTTTGACACCATTTACGTAACATTTAGGAAATGACATGTCTATGCAGTTGTAAATATCTAGGATCTAAGTAGGTATGCAAGTCGCTGCAATAGGTATGATTTTCTATTCTTAATAATTAAAATAAATGCAACGCATAAACAGGTAAGGCACGCAACGATAAACACGAAGCTATTAACCAATCAGCTGTCAAGTTACAATAGCACAGATCTCCTTTCTGTAGAAAAGCAACGACTCCCGCGCGATCCGAACACACGACAATTCAAAGACCAGCCCGACGCCATACCACAGCGCCACAGATCCGCGGGTTGACCTAGCCCGGCCGGCTGCAGTGTCGATAGGTCGCGACCCCATGGCACCGCAGCGCCCAGTCTGCGCTTGGGTCACTTGACCAAGCCTCGGGCGAGGTAAATCATGTGACCGGTTCGAAGTGAGGGAAACCACACAGAATCCAGTAGTGAGTGAGATACGGAGCCCCGGGGCATAACCACGTGCCTGTAGTTAGGGACTTGAACCACCAGTAGGGTCCCGAAGGCCGAAGTTTATACGCGGACAATATAAATAAAGTTTTTATAGTCTATATTACCTATAAAGTTTATATAGTTATCCTACAAAGCTGCACTTGTTTGTGGGCGAGTGGCTGCTGGCGGTGGTGGGTCTCGTGATGATGTATGATTGATGCGTTTTATAAGCAATTGAATAAATAATCAGGACACAAGAGACGGTCCAACACAGAAGTGAGAGCAGACTTTGGGGTTGCTGCTTTTCCCACTTTTTTTTTAGCGGGATAGGGGTTGTTTTCCATTGCCGCGCAGTTCTTTCAAGCGCTGACGGATTTGTTCAGCCACAGCTTGGCTACGGGCAGGGGAGAACGAAGGTCGCGAGGTCGTTCACTGGCGCTTCGGAGAAAACAGCTGAGTGCAGTGGTTGCGTGGCACCGGTGGTCAGCGAATCCCAGCATCTGACAGAACCAAGGAGCTGTTCGTGACCGTTTCTCTCACTCTCTCTCTCTCTCTCTCTCTCTCTCTCTCTCTCTCTCTCTCTCTCTCTCTCTCTCTCTCTCTCTCTAGACCAATGTCAACGGCCAGATATTTCGACCATTGTGTCAAGGCCACAGGTAGTGTTCGCCAACGGACCACCACGGAGGGCTTTTGAGAATATAGAGATAATATTCTGATAATATTAATGTGAAATATTGCCATGAATGGGCTACAAAGTGCCGACATGGACCACAGCCTAATCTAGCCGTCAAGGTATTCCATATTCTTCATAACATAGTTACAATAAACATAGTTATAACATAGTTATAATGAGCCTCGTATTAGGCATACTAAGAAAGGGAGAAGGAAAATTAGGAAGGAAATTTCGAATAAGCATGAGAGTGGTTCAGATCTTCAGAGATTCTGAGGGCAATGCAGAAGGATGCCGTATTTTGAAGCTGCACCGGCAGTTTTGTAGCCTATCCGGATGAGATGAACGGCATGGCATCGCTCTGGCACGGTTCGTCGGAAAGTCAAATCATTCACAAAAGAAACGACATATACCATTCGAAAGCTGACGGTGGGCTGATGCCATAAATGTGTTTTTATAGAAATTGTTTAATGGCCTTTTTCAAAAATTGCGTTTTTGTAAAAACGTAATAATCTTTTATTCAACCAGCTGTCCAGGACATTCTTAAAAGCATATGCATGTTTGTTTCGTTTTCCAGTGAAGGCTGAATGCCAATGAAACAATATGCAGCAATAAAATATCCTCAAATATTAATATGCGCTTCTCACAGCCGGCAACAGGGCGCAATCACACAACTGAGCGTCACGAAAAGGGTCACAAAAAGCCGTATCTCTTTTGGTTTGGCGTTGGTGTAATTTTTTTATTTGTCATCATATTGCAATCGCAGTTTTTATTTAGAAATATTTGCTTTCGTTTCACCTACAGCAGTTTACACAGTGTGAGCCCGTTAGTGCACCATACCATAGCATTCCCTAATCATTTCTGAGCCGTACTGTGAAAGTATGAAGGCGCTAGCACAGGCTGACCGGCGCTACTAAAGTTTTCGTCCGTTGCGGTCGGGTGTCGCGGCGCGGTGGTCGGCCCGGGCGGGCGGCCACAGCGGGGTTTCGTCGGTGCATCCCTCTGCTGTTCCTAAACGAAGTGTCCTAGCGCCTCGCGACAAAAACCAACGAATTGCTCCTGACAAGCTCTCGCGAGTGAGCATATTACTTTTGAGTTAAGGTCAATATTTGACCTACTTATAGCAGGTCAAAGTTAAACGTCTGTCGAAATTGCAATCCGCGGTGAAAGCAATCCGCCCCGACTGCGACACCCGACCGCAACGGACAAAAACTTCAATAGCGCCGGTCTGCCCTGTGCTAGCGCCTTAATTCTTTCACGGTGTGACTCAGAAATGGTTCGGGAATGCTATGGTATGGTGCACTAACGGGCACACACTGTGTAGACTGCTGTAGGTGAAACGAAAGCAAATATTTTTTTAGTAAAAAACTGCGATTGCAACATGATGACATATGATTAGATGATCGCCAAACCAAAACAGATGCGGCTTTTTGTGACCCCGCATGAGAAGCAGCAGGCTTTAGGAATCATTGTAATGCATATTTTTTGCAGTTTGTATTAAATGAACGCACGCTAGCGGCGTTTGAACTTGCAAGTATCTGACAGTCATTTTACGACATAGAAAATGTCACGACTTCTGACAATCATACACGAGGCCGGTTTTGACAAAAATATGAAAACTATTTGATTCAGATGCGACATTTATTTGGTTATCCATATAGTGATTAACACGGTTTGGTAAACTTGACTTTTTGGTATTTATAGCCACTCGTCAACCCCATTTGCATCACTGTGCGCTAGGTCCGCCTGACCGGCCACGGAATACGTTCGGGTCTCGTCCTACTAAACAAGTGTCATATTTGTTTGTTTAACGATCCATATCACTATCAAAGTTTTTGAGGATACCGGTGAAGAAAGTTCATTCTTCTGCTAGATTTACCTACAACATGCTTTAACTTACATTTTCTTATACAGGTTTTGCTCCGTCCCGCTGCGCTCAATGCCCGCGCGGGGAAAGTTAGCGGGGTTTCACTGTCAGAGGTTGTACCAGTGTCGCCGACCTTGTCGTGCCTCTGGTGGAGGCCGGGACATTTATTGTAGCGGAGGAAAAACGTAGATGAATTTTGAAGAATATATTGAAGAATTCCGGACGATAGATGATGATGAACGGTAGACGAGGGTGAAATTGAAGAACGCAGAGTAGACAGGTAGACCAGAAAACACAGTAGCACTGTCGATGGTCACTGTTGTCCGCCGAGGCGGACACACCGGCGCCGCCGCGGACGGGGGCGCCGTCAGATTCACTCGCAATACGCCGGCGCGCGTCGGGGCGCCGGCGAAATCGCGCACTGCCACTGAGCTACGCGCTCAGTGGCGTTCACTTTGGCAGCCCACTGGGGGTGCCCGTTCACTTTAGCAACCCGCTGGGGGTGCCTGTTTCACTGCGGCAATCCGCTAGGGATGCCGTTCACTCTGGCAGCCCGCTGGGGGTGCCGTCGGAATCGTGCGCGGTGCACGATTCCGTCACTTCACTGACACCGGCGCACATCGGGGCGCCGGTGGAGCCGCGCACCGCCACCGAGGACTGTACTCGGTGGCGTTCAAGTGGAGACTGCCCGCAGCGACTCGAGAAGCCGCCGCGGACAAAGAGAACAATCATGTCGTACGTCTAAAAGCACTCAGAAAGCGACACTGGAAACTGGTGAGAAAAGTCCGAAAAGGCTCACGCAGCACGTTCGGTAAAAGGATACGGTGCGCGGCGAGCACGAACAGCCGACAAGTGTGAAGCGATATCGCGAGTGACAAATTGTAGGCAATTAGAACATGAGACGAGAAACTAACAGAAGAGCTGGTCCAGGCTCACGGGGCACGACCAGTACTGCGATAGATCACGCGTGGCTGTCAAATGTAAAACGAAAGAGAAGAACAACAGGGCAGAAAGAGAAGAACAACAGGGCAGTTCATTTCGTCGGTGACACACTCCTCCCCTGTGATCGACTTAAGACGGGAGATCACACAATCACTGAACTCCGACGGAACATTCTGTACATTCACGAGATTCACGACTTCGCTACGCAGGTTCTCGCGAGTTCTTCCTAAAACTACACAAGGACCTATACAGATTCTTGGTACACTACACTACCTATATCACTTAGTACTAAATCATAGCGAAGGCAAACACTTTCGGCACCTTCACAATCGTTCATTGTGCTAGACCTCGTCCCTGGTCATCTGCACATTAGTCCACTGGTCGCGTCACTTCGTCACTTCTGACGCCAGTCTCCGGTGCGCAGTGTTCGGCTACACCAGAAACGCAACGCGATTGTTCACACGGCTGTTGCCGGTTTCGGTTGTTGTTCACCAGAGCAGCTGATGTGTTGTCCTTCCAGCAGTCAGCTGATCGGTCGCTGCTCTCAGTAGGTCAGCAGGGTCCTTCGCCGCCTCAGTTTCCCTCGGTACTCAAGGTCAGTGTCAACCGGCAGCGCGGCACGCGCCACTCGACTGAGCTCCCCCACCTCCAGATGTCACGCGCGCCTAATGGCCGGCTGCGCGGACGGGGGAGGGGAAAGTGGTCCATGTGGCGAGCCGGGCTAGAGGGGGACACGGGAAAAGACATAAATCTCGGCGAGTTTGGTGTCTGCTCCACGGGACGGAGGGTGAGATGAAGTTTCAGAAATGGTCTAAAGGCCAGGCTCAGTGGGTCAGTAGGAGTACGGTCGAAATACAGCTGACAGGATGTGGGAATGATGTGGCGACAAACCCGTTCACTACAGCTGAACTGCTTCTTCTAGGACAGCGACCACAGTGACCGGCCGTGTGTGGGTCGCTCCATTCGCTGTGACGAGTCGTACAGCGCGCACTCGTCCGTCCGGTCCTGGCAGGGGCTCTGTTCTCGAACCAGGGACCAGAGTCCTTTCGATGTGCCAGGTTTTTGGATTTTTTTCTTTCTTCCATCGGCTCCGGATGTGTCGTAGCATCCAGAGTTTCTCCTTGAGGATCTGCACCGTGATCCGATACGGAGCGGCGATCCTCACGGGGTCGAAGATAACCGCAGTTCTCCTGAGCGCTCCTCGTCTGGTCGTCTGCTTCTTACTGTCTCGGAACTGGGCACTCGGCGAGTCTCGCTCTTCGTCCCAGACAGCACCCAGAGCTCCTTCGGCAGGGAGATAGGTGTCATCGTAGTCCGCATCGGGGTGTGCTTGTCTCACATGTGGTGTGCTGCTTTGCACTTCACTCGTGTTGTTCATCTGGTTTTCGTGCCGGAAGTCTTCCTTTGTGAGCAGATCGGGACAATCTCTTCTTACTGCTCTGGCGGCTTCCGACACGGTTCGTTCTGGTTGATGGACGTCGTCCATACAGACACTGCCGTGTCGCGCTTTCGTGGTCTCTGTCTTCAGTTTGACTTGTGCATCTGCATCATGATCGGTGACTGTTTTCTGCGGCACAAGGTCAGCGGACGCCAGCCACGATTCGGTTTTGAAGACGTTTTCTTCCTTCTCGTTCTGGTCTGATTTTTGTCCGTCGTTCAGGTCAGGCGAGAGGCGGTTTTGAGCCGTTCTTTCTTGTCGGATGAACTGTTTCTGATCAGCCGTCTCCTGGATATCCGCTACGCAGGCCACAGCCCTTTCCTGGAATCGTTGCGGGACGTCAGTTTGACCTTTCCGCATGTCTGACTCAGCGAGTGGTCGATTGTTGCACGAGGCGCCAAGCACCTGGGCAGCAGCGTCGGAGTCGGAGATCACCTGGATTTCCGGGTCTTCGCTCGGTTTTCTGGCTGAGGGATGCTGCAGGGATTTTGCTGCCTCAGCTGTTTCACCTGGGTTCACTTTTCGGAGGCGTCCTTCTTTCGAGCAGGATTCTTGAGTCACCTCTTTCAGGTTCTTGTTGCTAGCGAGTTCTTTTTCCGAGCTCAGCAGGTCTGGCCCAGCGGGTAGCTGGTTGTCGAATGAGATGCCAAGTACCTGGGCAGTAGCGATGGAGATCCATCTGGTTGTCACTTTCTGGCTGTCCGTAACTTTCAACTTCTGGACACTTTCTGACGCCGGTATCTTATCTTTGGGTAACTCGTCGATCCAAGATGGTCTGCTTATCTGAGGGCTAGATGGGACGGGGCTAGCTTGGAGAGGGCGGTGGGGTGATAGCAGAGGTTGCGGGAGTCTCGTCATTACCGTTCGCTGTCCCTCCCGTTCAGCTTTCATGAAGTCGTCCCTTCTGCCGGCGTTTCGACGATCATTCATCTGCTGTCGCCATTGTGCCTCCAGCGCAGCTTGTTCCGCTTCGTCTTTGGCGATTTGTAGTTCAATTTGTCTTTTCATTTCATCTTCCTGACGCTTCAACTCCGCTTCTTGATTCTCTATCTCCAGTCGTTTCTCCAACTGCTTCACAGTCAGAGCTTTCATATACGCTGTGAGCCGAGCCTCAGCAGCGGCGCGGGAGACAGACGAACTGCAGCTCACCTCTGTGATTTGCTGTAGTCCGCGCTGTATACTTATTTCATCATCCAGTCTTCTCAGCTCCCTCTCCAGACGCCATAACCCTTGTAGCGTCTGCCTCTTCAACTCATCATGTTGGCGCTTTATCTCCAGTCGTCTCTCCAACTGTTTCACATACAGAGCTTTCTTGCGCGCTGTGATCTGAGCCTCAGCAGCTGCGCCGGAGGCTGACGAACTGGAGCTCACCCGAGACGACGCGCGGCGGGCTGGGCCGTGACCCAGCTGTGAGTCAGGGCGCGGCTGCTGCAGCGTCGAAGTCTCCATGGTTTCTTCCCTTTCTTTCGTCACAGGAACTCCGCCGACAGCGCCTTCACTTTGCGGTTTCCCTTCTTTTTCCATTTTCGATGAAGTTTCCTCCGCTTCTGTTTTCTTCTGGCCTGATCCGGCCCGGAGGACCATTAAATGTCGCCGACCTTGTCGTGCCTCTGGTGGAGGCCGGGACATTTATTGTAGCGGAGGAAAAACGTAGATGAATTTTGAAGAATATATTGAAGAATTCCGGACGATAGATGATGATGAACGGTAGACGAGGGTGAAATTGAAGAACGCAGAGTAGACAGGTAGACCAGAAAACACAGTAGCACTGTCGATGGTCACTGTTGTCCGCCGAGGCGGACACACCGGCGCCGCCGCGGACGGGGGCGCCGTCAGATTCACTCGCAATACGCCGGCGCGCGTCGGGGCGCCGGCGAAATCGCGCACTGCCACTGAGCTACGCGCTCAGTGGCGTTCACTTTGGCAGCCCACTGGGGGTGCCCGTTCACTTTAGCAACCCGCTGGGGGTGCCTGTTTCACTGCGGCAATCCGCTAGGGATGCCGTTCACTCTGGCAGCCCGCTGGGGGTGCCGTCGGAATCGTGCGCGGTGCACGATTCCGTCACTTCACTGACACCGGCGCACATCGGGGCGCCGGTGGAGCCGCGCACCGCCACCGAGGACTGTACTCGGTGGCGTTCAAGTGGAGACTGCCCGCAGCGACTCGAGAAGCCGCCGCGGACAAAGAGAACAATCATGTCGTACGTCTAAAAGCACTCAGAAAGCGACACTGGAAACTGGTGAGAAAAGTCCGAAAAGGCTCACGCAGCACGTTCGGTAAAAGGATACGGTGCGCGGCGAGCACGAACAGCCGACAAGTGTGAAGCGATATCGCGAGTGACAAATTGTAGGCAATTAGAACATGAGACGAGAAACTAACAGAAGAGCTGGTCCAGGCTCACGGGGCACGACCAGTACTGCGATAGATCACGCGTGGCTGTCAAATGTAAAACGAAAGAGAAGAACAACAGGGCAGTTCATTTCGTCGGTGACAACCAGTGACAACTATTTGGCCCTGCGACCGGTCGAATGTTACCCCGCCTCGCCGGGCGCTACCCCCACTTCTGTCCAGTTGAAGCCGATACAGCCTCTGACAGCTCAGCGCGGCCAACTATGGGCATAATGCCTAGCTGAGTTGAGCAAAGTAGACAAAAACAAATGCAAATTCATACCTGATGTGAAAATGACAGAGCAATGAATTTTCCTCTCAGGTATACTGAACAGCTTAAGTACCGACTTCAATTGTTAAACTAACAAAAATGACGTCTGTTTAGTAGGGCGACAGCCGAACGTCTCTTCTGTGGCCCGTCAGACAGCTGAGAGCGCCGGATCTGCGCGTCGATAAGGGTCATTTGACGCCTTTGTGTGGCTTACTTTGATCCGTCGTGACACTGAGTTGTGTGATTGCGCCTTGTTGCCGGCTGTGAGAGACACATCTTAATATTTCAGAATACTTTTTCGCTACATATTGCTCTTTTGGCATTCAGCTTTCACTGGTAAACGAAAAAACATGACTATGATTTAAAGATTGTCCTGGACAGCTCGTTGAATAAAAGATTTTTACGATTTTACAAAAACGCAATTTCTTAAAAAGGCCATCGAACGATTTCCATATAAAATACTGTTTTGGAATCAGCTCACCGTCAGCTTTCGAACGGTATATTTCGTTTCTTTGGTGGATGAAATGACTTTCTGACGAGCCGCGCTGGTTTAACCGCCAACGCATTCCACCTATAAAAATGAAACCAGCATAACGCCTTTTGGGGCGACTAACGGAGCGAGCGAGAGGGTGGGCCTTGCACGTGCGAAATCGCGAGGGGTATCTTCAACTGACTTGTGCACAGCACCCTACTAACCGGTCTCTAGCGATGTGCCAAATTTGAGCACAATCGGCCCAGGCGTTCTCGAGATCTGGAAGCGGCACCCTGCACGTGCGGACGTGCAAAATGGGCCCCAACTGACTTTTGCACGGCACCCTGCTAACCGGTCCCTAACTGCGTACCAAATTTGAGCGCAATCGGTCCAGCCGTTCTCGAGATCTGGAATCGACCCCTGCACGTGCGCACGTGCAGCAGCACCCCAACTGTGGCACATGCAAATGCATTGCCTAGTGGGTGCCTACCTGCATGCCAAGTTTCAGCGCAATCGGCCCAGTAGTTACCGAGATATTGCAATTGTTACAAAACTGACACCTCTTCGTTTTGCACGTGCCACGTGCATAAGGGGTCACCCACATGCATCGGAAATAGTCCAATGCTTGGTTGAAGGAATGAAACTACCCTACAAAAATTACCGCATGTAAATCGGTCAAGTGGTTGCTGAGATATAAGCATCGCAAAAGCGTGACAACGGCCGGCCGGCCGCTCATACTCAAAAATGTCCGTTATTCTACGTAAGACTTTCGCTTCGCTCGCTCCGTATCATCAATCATGAGTGGTAAGGCGGCCAGCGCAGCGCGGCGCGTCCCTGACCCAGCCCAACGCGTCTGTGCCGAGCGTGAGGCCAGAGGGATATACTGTACCGCTGAACCTGGGTGTGAGGCGGCGCAGTCTACCGCTCCAGTCAAACGCTGGGCCGTCGGGGGGCGAACATCACTTAGTAGGTGAGTGTACATCAGGCAGTTGGTCGGGGTGCCATCAGAAACGGTGCTAGTGCCTTCCTCGGCAGCAGAGGCCGGCACGACTGGGGCCGTGTAGTGTTTAGGAGCTGCGACACCGAGCTTCCATTAGTTGATCAACATGGTCGGTGTGGGGAATAAAACAGACAACATCTTGTGAAAGATGTCCGGATCGACGTAAAAGAAACTCACAAAGGGGGCATAATGCTCAATCGTCCAGTGTACACAGAGGACTTACAAACATAAAATTACCTACAAATGAGTAGGAACCGGCGGTCGCGAAACACGTGTTAGCTAATTTGAATGTCGTTCCGTTCGCTATAGGCGAGCTGATGCAAATCGCCTTCACAGTGCATAATCAAACACGATGTAATGCACCACATCATCTAGCGCATGCTACTTGGTAGATTGAAACATCGCCGAGATATGAGCCTCTTCAAAGGAATGAAGGGTCACAATCTAATGGAGGCAGGAGAACATCTTCAAATAAATATTATTCCCAGCACACCGGAGCTTCATTCTGATGAGTGCTGTAAACATTGGCGGGGTTCCTTTTTTGTGCGTTTATTTGTGTTTATGTTTTGTGGGAAAGGCGCTTTGATTTAAGCATTTTGCTTTTGCGCCGATCCGTGATTATTTTCTCCGAACATGATAATTATACGTCCAAAAGGTGAATCTTATTCACATGTTTCATATTCACATATCTATCACTCATTTCCATCATTTAAAGCTGGCTGATAGCAGAAGGAACTAAACGAATAAACGTCACACGAAGTTTTGTCGCCATAAATCGAAGAAAGCAACTGGAAACGTGTTCCACAAAGATTCACTTCATCAAAGCACGGTAATACAAACGAGGCACGTCTCCACTCCACTACTGATGCTGATCAGCTGTAACTTTGATCTGTCTTCAAAATAAATAAATAGGACATACAGAACCTGGGTTACGGCAACATGGCTTTCGCTTGCAGTAGACTGGTGCAAAATACGCCGGCAAAATGAATATACAGCCGGAGTGAACAATAGAAGTTGACAAAAACCTAAAGATATATATGTAAAGTTTGAAGGACAGTGGCGTAAAGTAAAACACATGACTTTAGCTAAGTTATATTAGAGGCCATTTATTACAATTAAGGACCACCTTTCCTGATGACCATAGCTTAGAACCACCTTCTAATGACACGAAGTATGCGGCCACCAATATGTCTAGCGCTGCTAAATCGGGCTGCACCTTAGCAGCTGCACAGTGCACACTGCAGAGACACAGGCCAGTCGCTGGTTCATGAGCTACAGCAAGGAAGCTCGATGGAGATTATAAATGATCGGAGTCTCCGCTCAGAGTCTCGGACGAGCAGCCAGGCATGCACACCTCCTAGTCAGAAATGGGGATTGTCGAGTTACACTCGTGTGAAGGTAATCGTTTACCGGGTGGCAAGTGAAGACCATTGCGCTCAAGATGCCGTGAGTTTGATTGATTGCATCTACACTCGGCTAGTTCCACGCTGAGTATCTCCGGGGCTCCACTTCCGGCACCAGTGACCAGTGTCCCCCTCCCTAGCTGGTGCCCCCCCCCCTCAGTATGAACCGTTGCACAGGAGTCGCCCGCCGGACACCTATGAATATGCATGGCTCTATTTTCACGGCCCGGCCGCGTCAGCTTACCAGCCGGTAATTGCGGCGTCTCTGGCGCAGCGGCGTCACTTCCTGCGCGGCGGCCGTATGCAAATGCGGCGCGGCGCTGCGGCGGGGAGTGGCGCCCTTCGGCCCGGCGGTGATCTATGGAGAGGGTAGCCCCGGGCCGAGCTGCGCCCAGCACCCGCCGGTGACGTCACACACCGCCGAGCGGGCGACGTCACACAGGTGACGTCAGCCGGGGGAGCGCCGGCGGCCGCCGCGCTGATGACAGATATCAGGCCGGCTCGTTGTCGGCCAATTGGCGTGTGATGAGCGCCGTTGTCGACTGCAGACGCCGGTAACAGGACGGCGTGTTGACGGCCGCTGGGAGCAGTGAGGGACGGCGCGCCGCCGCCGGCCGGTCGGCAACAGCTGCGCAACGCATGGGAGAGCTCCGGCGGCGCCCGCTGCACCGCCGCCCTGCACATGCACGATTATTAGAGCCACCAATAATTAACTGATTTAGGTAAGCCGACAGCAGGTGAATCTGGTCAGCGCGCGTCGGCCACGCGAACCCACAATTAGCTGTTGTCCGTAACTGGGCCCTAACCGGGCGCCGCGGGCGTCGGCGGCGGCTCGTCACCTGTCGACGGCCGCCCCCGTCCGCCGGCCAGCCGGGCGTCCTCACATCTGGCGCGCTTTTCCCACGGTGGCGCGCC